TAAACCAAGGGACATAGCATCATCATTCACAGGTTTAATTTTAACTAGATCTAGCTTGTTCATTTCTGATGGTTTCGCACTACAAATATTGCAGCTTGCAGATGATTTTGTGTTGGTTAAGGCATTAACTACTTTGCCATCAAACATGGTTAGTTCAACATGAGATTTTATATTGATACTGACTTTTCTTCCATCCGCAAGTGTAATAATCTCAACATAATCTTCCAAATCAGCCATCTGATCACGAATGTATTTTTCTTCTGACTTGCTAAGTTCTGTGGTTTCTTTTTTGTATTGAAGACGAAGAGGTCTGCAAAAATGAGAACTATTTGGTTTCTTATTCTCCCAAATTGTTTTACTTTCTACACTTAACTTAAGAGGTACAATTGCAGTTTGGAAAAGGGATTCTTCATTTTTTTTAGCCTCCTCAATGTCTGTGTTATCATACCTTTGTTTATACAAACTTTGGCTTGATGCACAATCAAACCCTGCTTTTAGAATAAAACGACCATTGAGCACATTTTGATCTGGATCCAGAGTTTTTAAATTGTCTTCACTTAATACAATAACTTTTTTAAGAGTATGATTCACCATGGACTGTAATTTACTTTCAGCAGAAGTTTCAGTTACAAAAAGGTCCTCTGGATAACAATTACTTTTTTCCTTGAATAGAGCATGTAATGTTGGATAAATATTGGCATTGTGTTTGATTGAGGAGTTTCTTATCATTTGATACTGATCATCACTGAGATCACAATTAACTTTTAATGAAAGTGCTTCTTTCTCACTCATCATTATTGGTTCCTTGCTGTCCATACTTTTTCTGATTTCAGATGCTTTCTGAATAGACTCTTTAACCACATAAGCAAAGTCTTGTAAGTCACCTGATGATTTTGCACTTTTAACAGCAGCCAGAGCTAAAACCTCTGGATCATGCGCAGATAATCCAACAACTCTTGTTCGCTTACTTCTCTCTCCTAGATCTTTCCAATCTTTTTTTGGTCGCCCTCCACTGAACTCGTTTCTGCTTACATTGTCAGCTTTCATAACAATTTGAATTTCGGTTTGCAACCATTTCTTTTCTTTCATTAACAGCCTGTCATATGTTTTGTTTACTGCAATCCACTTAGCTTTCAATTTTATCACCAAAATTCGGATTTTTTCTGTTAATTTTTCACTATGCACTTTTTCACCATCCAAACCATCTGATATCAAAATTTCCTCATAAAGGAGGCTCACAATATCCTTGTTAATTATACAAATTTCTCTTACTTTGGGAATCAAGTCTATTATTTTCATTTTGAGATGTAATCACAAAGGCACATATTACTAACTAATTTTTTGGATTTGTAAACAACTTTTTGCGGATTTCTTATTAATTGCAAAAAACTTTAAAATTCAATTTCTCAAAAACGTGCTACTTTGGGGCGGGTTTTTTTTTCCGGGCATTCCTGTATATATTCAAGATACTTCCCCATTAAAATTCAGGGTGGACAAGTGTGGACATTTTTAGAAAAAGCAAATATTGTGAATATTATTTTCTGAAAATTTTTAATTTTTTCACAAATTGTGAAATTCAAACATTAATTTTTGGTGTTGATAAAAGTCCAATGTCAGTTACTTACCGGATGATATAATATATATACGATGTTCACCGAAAAAATGAAAGAAAAATTTTTAAAAATGACCATTTTGTAACAATTTTAAGATCTACTTGAAAACTCTAAAATTTCTAGTGAATTTTTTCCCACAAACAACCTGCATATAACAAGCTCACAAAAAGAGTAAAAATTTACAAAATCATAAAAAATGGGTTTACCTTGTTCAGTATGCTTATAACAATCAAGATAAAGTTAAAAAACATCAAAATAAATTTAAAAAATTAATAGGGTTTTTGCCGTTTTTTCGTATCTGTGAGGCACTGTGCATCGTTGCAATTTTATCTCGTATAAAATCAACAAGCTATCAAATGCTTTTCTGCTTAAGTTTATATTTTATATCAATTCTTCTGCTTTTCTTAGCATAAGATCCATTTTGTAAACAAGTTAGATATATGATTTTTTTTTTCCACTTAAAGGTAATATACAATATGTAAGTTTTTCTTTTATTAAAAATATTTTTTATTTCTATAAATGACAAAAAAAAAATATTTTTTAACGTTATTGTCAATTCAAAGTCTCAGAATAAATACTCTTAATCGAGTGCTATTTTGTCTACAATGACTGCTTTTGCACACAATCGAAATGAAATTCTCACAGTGCTTATACAAACACTTCCAAAATTTACAATTGTATCAATCTTACATCCTCTTTCAATAAATCTTTCAATGTTTTGATTTGAAATTTTTTCACCATTCTCTTTAGCTGGTTTATTTCTTGATTTACCTTGAACTGCGTAAAGCTCCTTTTTTATCATAAATTTTAGTTGAAGTTAAAAGAGATATGGCTGCATAACAGTTGCTCATTTTATCATTACCACTCTTACAAATTTGGATTTCTGGTCTCATTTTTTCTATGTCATTTTTAGAAATAACTCTTATGATATAAGTCTCATCATACATTAAAATTAGGCTTCCAGAAATGTTTTGAGGGTTTGTACATGTAACACTTACACAAAGAATATTATAGTTACCTTTTTATAGCATAATTAAGTCTGGATTCTACCAGTCCTCTGTATTACTATTTTTTGTTCAGATAAATGAATACCAACGATAAATGAACAACGTATTTCGCATAAAAGATCATCTTTAATATTTTATACATTTTTTCTTTCTTTATCGAAATTTTTTCTACTTATCGATAACCGTTTGTGCATGGAACGGTCACTTGATAGTACTTGACCATGAAGATATTCGGGTTTGCCAAAGGTTTTCCGTGGGTTGTTTTCAAATTGATTTCTTTGGAAGGGTGGTAATAAGTTTTTTTATACATGTTTTAGTTATAGATACCAAAATTTTTTCTGCAAATATCTGACCATCAAGAGGGCATCAAATAGGGAGTGAAAATTTTTTTTATAGGGTACTAAGAGAGGGTGTAAAAATGCTCTCTAAGTGTGCTCAAAAATGAATTCAAGCCTCTATTTTACATCTACTTCTGTCATCTGTATTGTGTCATCTGCACCCACAGCATCAAGAAGTTAAAAAACACAAACGTCCCCTGGACAACGCTTGCACTGTGTTTCTTTCCCTTCTTAAATAGACTATGCGATATTGGTTCAGAATAAATGCTGTACTGCGCTACTTCCAGATTGTTTGAATTAATGATCAACTTTTAGCCTAACTCATTTTAAATGATTTTATTTTCACAAATTTCTTTATTTAGCTTTAAAGTTTAAAGCTGAACAATCCAGGACATAAATAATTTAATAAAGGCCATCCACGATTTGCTATCCAACACAATGTATCTTCTCAATTATCAGCCTACCTGTAAATAGCATCGTATTTATACTACTTACCTTTTAATCGAACCCAACGCCTTGAACTTTACATTGAGCAATATCACATAACTTGGCGGATCACTCATAAATGTTTGGTAAATCATTTATAAAAAATGTCGAGTTCTAATGTGCAAATCATAGGTTCAAAAGTGCATTTCTGTTAGGTAACAATTTTTCTGTAACACTTTTTAACTTTGTAACAATTTTCAGTAACAATTTTTAACATTTTAATTCTGTAACAAAATTAAGGTAACAATTTTTCTGTAAGGTAACAATTTTTCTAGCATTTGATAGACATTTAAACTAAAAAGCGGGCCTAAAATAGACGGCCAATGTATGTTAAAACCCTAAATTTATACGCTAGTCATTCAGTCGAAAACTAAACGCAGTAACTTAACACGTACAACTTAAACACAGAAATATAGCTAGCAGATATAAATATGCTCCGTCAACTTTTAGGCTGACAAATAAAAACCCTTGTTATTTAGCCATGTCGCTATATTTCAGGTTGACTCGTTTAACAAACAAGCCAACTTGAAATAGTGGCGTTGCGATAGGGTACACAGACTAGACTAAGTCCAGAAGGCTACCGAGTTTATAAAAGAATTGAGGGTCGTCGAGTTTAAATTAGCTAAAAAGTCGTAAAAAGGATGAATTTTGTTTAAGGATTACTAAGTGTTTCGCGATGCCACGGGCCTGAACGCAACTTTTTTTAACAATTCATAGTAATTCAAACAATTGGAAATGATTCTTCTTCAGTTTTATCTATGAAAACTTTTTTATTATTTTTACATCACAATCAGTCTGATGCCTATTCTAAGAAACCCTGATTCGTTCTAAGGGGGGATTAGCGACATTAGGTTTTTTAAAAAAACCAATGCGCTAAATTTACGATTTTAGCAGTATTTATTAATTGAAAAACGAAGAAACTGAACGGCTCCCAATTATACAGAACAGGTGCACTACGATCATGTTAAGATTTTTTGAGATCAGGCTGTTGTTCTTATTGCCTTAAGTTTTCAAATTTAATGATAATTTCTGGTTTAAATTGTATTGTACCAGTATGTTGCCAATATACAATTAAAAAATTTTTTAAATGTTTGCCAAGTCAAAAAAGAGCAATTCGTTTTGATTCTATATTAAGAAAGAAATTAATGCCAGAAACAGTTAAATTTTTATTTTTTTCATGACTTTGTCCTTGTACTCATGCTAAATATTTTTATACCCCGGAAAGAGAATTTCCTCATCATCATTTCGAACATTTATACTTTATTTTGAATAACACTTTCAATACATTTTATGATACTATATTTATAGTCTATATATGTGTTATATATAAATTTATATTTTAGTAGAGTTTTTTAGTAAATTTATATTTTAATATAGTTATTTATGTAAAAAAATAAAAAAAATTCATTCAAAATTTTAATTTGTTAAATATTAGTTTAGTTTTAAAATTATTTTAAAATAATTCTGATTTATTACTTGTAACATATTTAAACTTAATTATATATGATATTTAAAAATATCTATAATAAGTATAAGGAAATTAGAGATATAATTTTTATATATATTGTAGTGTAAGCGATATTTTAGTAATGTCATTAAGAGCAAGAAAAACTAAGAAAGGAAATGAAAAATCAAGAGTAATTCCATTTATTAAAAAAAATAATAAAAATAACAAATTTTTTGTTTGTTTCTTGGTTCTTTGTTCATTTTCTGTTTCTTTCGTTGTTGGATGGTCTTGGCATCTCTGGGTTGAAAGTAGACACTACACTCCATTTAATGCCCCAAAAGCAATCTTGCATCATGAAGAACATTTACATGATAACAAATTATGGGGAACTTACAGGTTTATAGTTTTATATTTAAATTGTTTTACTAATTTTATGTTATCCTTTAATATAATTAAATAAAAATTTAATTTCAATTTTTGAATCAAAAGAAACTATTGCATTGATTTGTTTTTAATGTTTTACTTTTTTTTTTATGTTTATATTATTCTTGATAACGAAGGTATTTATACTCATAAAGTAAAAATTAAAATAAAGAGTTTGAAAAAAGAAAATGGTATTAGAAGTTTTTATTTAATTATATAAATTACACAATTTACAGGTGTCTTTTAAAATTATGTTATCATTTTATTTTTAATAAAATGTTGTATAGTTTTTATGTAAATATATTAGGAGAATTAACAACAAAAAAAAAATTAAATTAAATTAAACAAAACGTGAAAAGAGAGCTAAAATTATAATTATTAATGGAGTATCAGAATCCAATAAAGTTTCTTTAGATGATAAAGTAGCTGAAAATGAAGCGAAAATCTTGGAAATATTTACAGAAATTGGAGTTCAAAACAAAAGTTTTGAAAATATGAGACAATTAAGAAGTAAAGTTTCTGACAAGCCAGGCCCATTATTGGTTTACTTGGCTGATTCCAATCTTCGAAACAAAATACTAATTTCATCAAAAAAATTGAAATTGCTTCCAATTTTCAAAAATATCTATATATCTCTAGATTTAACAGAGGCTGAGCGGCAACAGGATTTTATACTCAGAGCAAAATAAACTGAATAATGCCCTTAAGGAGGCGGATCCCTTTTGGTATGGTATCCGTGGAAATCAGATACAAAAATTAAAAAAAAAAACAATCGAAGTTAGGCAGTATGGCTAATTGTCTGTTATCTATGAGTAGTTTTGAAAAACTAAATTACATATACCTTAATGCCGCATCTCTTGAAAACAAATTTCATTTAAACTAGTAGTTGCAACTTATAATCCTAAAATAATTACTATTATTGAAACATGGTTTAAACCTACTTCTCTATGCAAATTGGATGGTTATTGTCTATATAAAAAAGATAGATGCGATGGTCGTCAAGGTGGAGGTGTATGTATTTATATTGAAAGCAAATTTACTTCTTATGAACTTAACGATAACAGAATTACATTGAGCATGTCTGGGCTATTATCCAGTTCAGCAATAATAAATATCTCATTGGATGTATTTATAGACCTTATTACTTCACAGATATGATTGATATTGAAAATGTATTTAAAATTGCTAAAGAATTAACCAAAAAGATTATAAAGATTTTATCATAGTGATTTTAATTTTCCTGGTCTAATTTATGTTGGTCCAATGGTTCAATAAATTCGATTAAAGAAGCATTAGAAATTGAGCATGATTTTTTTTAAAATAATAAATGCATGTTTATATACCAACATTTCAAACAACAAATAAATCTGCTGTAAATATTTTAGATTTAATATTTACTACTCAGTCAGCAAGTATAACTGCCATTGATAGTAAATTTAATTTAGAAAACATATCTAGGGGTCATTTGATATTGTGTTTTGATTTCTTAAAAATAAAACAATGAATAAAAATACAGAGGAAAAAAAATTTTTATATAGAAAATCAGATTATAATAATATTAATGATTTCCTTATAAGTGTCAATTGGCTTCAGTGTTTTCATACTAAGAATGTTCAAGAAATGTATGATGAGTTGATTCATTATAATGAAGAAGCGTGTAACATATGTTCCTATAAATACCTCAAGTTTATCATCAAAGAAACTATACATAAACAAAAAACATATCTCACTCATTAGAGAAAAACAGAATTTAAGATGAAAAACTGAAATTGTTCTATTTTTTCATCTTAATTCTACAGAATTTAAGATGAAAAACTGAAATTGTTCTAGTAAATGGAAAAATTCAAATCTTTGTAACCAATATAAACAATTATCAAAAAGAGTGTCATTTGAAATTTTCATTGCAAGATGAAAATATGAATCAATGATTGTGGAAAAAGCTAAAAAGAACCCAAAAGTATTATATAAATATATGAATTCACAAGAATATGTAAAAGACTATATAAAAGCTCTGCGACAACCAAATGGTGAAACAACCCAGGATCCAGAAAAGATTGCTGATCTACTAAATATAAATTTTCAAAACCTTTTTGTCAAAGAATATAAAAATTGCACTCCATTATTCAAAACAAGAATCAATGATACTACCTTTAATTTAACTCCTAAAGAAATCCAATATGAAGATGTTCTTGAAAGGCTAAATAATTTTAATCAGTCTTGTCACCAAATAAATAAATTTGGTGACAAGACTGATTCCAGAAATTATAGACCTATATCACTTCCATGTATTACTTTTAAAATACTACAAGGCGTAATTAAAAATAAGTTCCAAAAATATCTTCATGAAAATAATATTATAGCTAATCAACAGCATGGATTTGTTAAAAAAAGATCATGTACTACAAATTTACTTGAAACTCTGGATTATATTACAAGAAGTGTTGATCAAAGAATTTCTGTGGATGTAGTTTTACTTGACTTTATGAAAGCATTTGATACTGTACCACATCAAAGGCTTATATTAAAACTTGAAGCGAAGTGAAGTTGAAGTGTTAGTGGCTTAGCACTTCAGTGGTTTCAAGCTTTCTTATCTAATAGAAGGCAGAGAGTTATTATGGGAGATTGTGTCTCAACTTGGGCTGATGTGTATAGTGGTGCTCCTCAAAGATCAGTATTGGGTCCACTACTTTTAATAATTTATATAAATGATCTTCCTGAGTCTCTAAAAAATATAAAATTATATGCTGATGACACAAAAATCATGTCGATTAATTTTTCTGATAAGTTACATAATAAACTACATTGCGAATTGACAAAAATCATGTTGATTAGTTCTTCTGTTAACTTACATGATAAACTACAATGCGATTTGAACTCAGTGTATGCTTGGACACAAGATTGGTTGCTTAAATTTAATATTGATAAATGTTTACAGGGTGTTAGCCAGGAAAAAATTTCATACAGCGTTTTTGCAAAATTGGGAATTTAGTTGCAGCTAAAAAAAACAACAAAAAGTTCATTACATTCTGACATTTAAAAAAGCAGATAAATTTTACATTTTTTAGATACAAATTTAATAAATTTTAAATTTTAAATGTTTTCAGAACTCTTTGAAAATATGTATTCAATAACGTTTGTAGACATCTAAATTAGCTTATTTTGTAAAAAAGTCAAAATTGATTTTTTTTATCATAAAGCGTTTTAAAAAACGGCTGCAGTATAGTAGAGAGAAAACAAGAACAAAAGACAATTCTTTGCAGTATTAATGAATGAATTTATAAATTTCATTGAAACTTTGATCTATTTTAATTGCGTACATCGTCTTTAAATACAGTTTTAAAAGGTTTGAACGATTAGTTTTGCAGAAATATATTTGAATAAGTATTTAAATACTTTAGTATTTTAAAACTAAAAATTTCAAGATACTTAAAAAAAAATTTCAAACTTTTTTACAATATTTATATTATTGTTCATCATATTTCATATTATAATTTTTATCATTAGATAAATTTGATAGTTTAAAAACTTATTTAAAACAAGAACTTTTGAATGAAAGTTATTGAAATCTTAATAACTTTTAACTGAAAAAGTTGGTTCGCTTGTCGATTTCTGTCAAATATAATGTTTGTTAAAAGAACTTTTGTTGCAATATGCTACTTTAATTTATATAAGTAACAAAGACATTTAGGGGGCAGAGCGAGCTTCTTTTGGGAAGAACCTTTGGGATTTTGAAACCATTTGGGAATACTGCGTTATATGCAGTGTCATCAGGCTGGCTAACACCCTGGTTTAATTATGCACTATGGCCATAAAAATAAGAGATACCCAATTTATATAAATGGTTGTAAGCTCAACATATCAGATTCAGAAAGGGTTATCTGAAAAAATCACCTAGGAGTGATTTTTTCAGATTTTTTTAGGGTTATATGAAAAAATCATCTAGGAGTGATTTTTTCAGATTTTTTTAGATTTTTTCTTGAAGTGGAAAAATCTAGTCTTATTAAGTACAAGCAAAACAAACCGCATGTTAGGCATAATAAAAAAATCTTTTGTTCAATTTGATGCAGAACTGCTAAAATCTCTATATCTTTCTTTTGTTCCACCACTCCTAGAGTTTGCTGTACCAGTATGGGCTCCTTATCAAAAACAAGATATTGCGACTTTAGAAAGAATACAGTGTCGTGCAACTAAATTAATACCTTCAATCCGTAAATTATGCTATGAAGATCTACTAGCTTCACTTAGAATGCCCTCACTAGTTAAAAGAAGACAATGTGGTGGCATAATTCAATTGTGTAAAATTTTCAAAGGTTACAATAAAGTTGAATTTAAAGAAAATAAGTCCTTCAAATCTAATTGTACTCGTCACCATAACCTAAAGTATTCTAAATAATTTTCTATACATAATTATAGAGTAAATATTTTACTAAATCAAACTGCAAATTATTGGAATGCATTGCCAGAAAATGTTAAAGCTAGTTCAGTAAACTCATTTAAAGCAAGACTTAATAGATATGAGTCAAACCATCACAAGACTCAGTTGTCATAGTATGCTTTAAAACCACACTCACTGGTAGCAATACCAGTCACAGCATAAACTAGTACTAATACTAAAACATACTTTAAACTTTACAGCCTATTATAGTTCTAAAATGTTTCTAAATTGATTGTAAAGTACTACAAAAAAACTTTAGAAAATTAAAATTATTTTGGCTAAATAACAAACTTTAAGCAACTTTTTAACAAAAAAATTCACAAAAAAAACTTTACAATTTGAATTTCCTCCCGTCTTCTTTTTTCTATTGAAAAGGTGTAGCTTTATTACTACACCTTCACAATATGTAGGCCTAATATTGAACATATAGCTTCCTTTTATTTTGTCAACTAAATATTTGTTAACTTTTCTGATTACATTATTGAATGCATCAAATAATTGTTAAATAACTTGTTGTATTTGGCTTATTTTATAGGTCTTTTGGCATGTTTTTTTGAATTTAAAAAAAGTTTATTTTTTGTTACTTAATTTACTCTCAAGAAAGTTGTAAGCAACCACAATTTGAGTTGGGAATTACCAGAAAACAAAGAATATTATTAAAGCGCAAGAAAAGGTTTGAAAAACTGTAAAGTGTATGATTTAAAAAAACATAAATTGTGGGAGATTTTAGAGCCTGAACTGACAGTTCCAGTAAAAAGATACAATTTTGCTGAATGACGAGTTGTGCACGATTGAGTTTTAAATTGAACTAAAACAGGTTCAATTACATTTACAATACGCTTTTAGATCTTGTCTGGAAAAGATATGTAGTTTTCTTGCAAGAAATACAGCGTTAATTTTATCATATTTTTTTATCTCCTAATCAAACTAACTTCTACTTAAATTTTCTCTTTATATAAATCTTTAATGCTAACTAATATTTTTATTTTAAAATATTAGGTAGAAGTCTAAAAAACTTTGAATTCTTTTTAAATTATTTTACATTTTTAAAAAAATGCCAAAAATACATACAAAAACAACAGACACATAAAAAAATGTTGTTGTTTTTCAAAACTTCATTAAAATATTTTAAAATATTTAATTTTTTTCTTTTTTTATTTAGGAAATAAAGTATTAAGGAAATAAGGAAATAAGCGAATAAGAAAAAAAAAAACTAAAAATTGAATAAAAAAGAAAAAGAGTAAAAGAATGTAAATAAAAGAAGACGAAGAAAGAAAAAAAAACTTATATATTATATAAAAATAATTAAACTATATTTGTTAAATAAAGAAGATTCTTTGTTGTATTGTGTTAATGTTTGTTGTTATTATTCCTTCCTTGTTTCTTGCTTTTTGTGTGTGTGTGTCCTGTTGTGTCATAATGATATTTTTTTTTTTTTTTTTTTTTAGTTTGTGTATATTTATCATATACATTATACGAAATGATACTTATTTTAATTTTATTTATCATGTGATATGTTTTTAATTTTTTTTTCTTCTCTCTTTCTAACACTCTCTTTCATTTCAATATTGTTCATTCATTATACATTCATAAACACTTTATACTTTTTATTGCTTTTTTGTGTTGTGTTTTCATTTGTTACGTGTTTTTTTTTGTACTTGATGATAACGGTCGTAACATTGCTTGAATTTAATTGTTTATTATTATAATTGTTTCGCTATTTTTATTATTATTATTAATATTATTTTCTACTATATTACTGTCATTGTTATGTAAACTCTATCATTGTTATTATATATTGTGTTATTACATATTATTATTTTAACTGTATTATTAAGATTATTATGTGTATTTTATATTTTCATCTTCTTTTTTTTTTGTTTTTTTTTTAATATGTTAATTTATGTTTTATATTATTTAATAATATTGTTGTTATTGATTTTATTTTTTGTTTATTTTATTTAGGTGTCACCCCTTTGACTAATTTTTAACTATACGAGTTACACCTAACCTGATTTAAATTTAAATGTTTACAATATTGATTAACATCAGTCAATATTGTAAAAATTAAATAAACATATACATTAAAGGTTTGAGGCATACATTTCAGATCTTTTAATATTGTAAAAATTAAATAAACATATACATTAAAGGTTTGAGGCATACATTTCAGATCTTTTAATATTGTAAAAATTAAATAAACATATACATTAAAGGTTTGAGGCATACATTTCAGATCTAATATTACTTTTATTAAGTGTTGGTTTAATTTTTTTTTAACTTTGATTAATAATTGTTGATTCTGTAACATTTAATATATATGCAGGCCTCAGCGAGAAGCAAGAGTTTTAGCTCTCACTTCCAGCCAAGTGATTTAGGGGAGCAATTTAGGGCTCTCGCAAAAGTATATTTTTTTCATAAACGTATACTTTTTTTTTTTTTCTATTAATAACATTAAAAATTATTGTGCAAACTACATTGTAAACTGCTTTTTTTTTATTTTGCTTAAACTCATATATATAATATGAAATTATTACGCACTGTTATTATGTAATAATTTTTGTATTATGTATTAAATTATATATTTAATATATTGATATAGTTATTAAATAAGTTATATAATATTGTACAAATTTGTAACAATTTAAGCAAAATTAAAAATCAAAATGCACAATTAAATGCTCTGCTAAAAAAATTATAATTATGTAAACAAATTTATTGTGGAATCTTATTTTTGTCTGGGGCTTCTTTAGGCTAATTTCGACAGCTGGATTGTATTTGGACGCCGCCATAATTCAGACATTAAAGGCTTTTTTACAGCAATTGTTTTTTTTTTTTTGAGAAAAAATGTTTGCCTCAAATTTTTTTAAGGCAGGTTATAAACAGTAAAAACTTATATAGCTTTTTGTTTATTAAATTTTCCATTGAATGAACAAAGTTGTTCACTAATAAATGGATAGCTAAAGTGAATACCCAAAGAAAATGCTTGTCTGAAGAATTTTTTCTTTGTGCAATAAACAAGGCTTGTTATGCATATATTCTTTTAACATTAACTTTACATATTATTATGTTTATAACGAGCATTACAAGCAATTTTTATAATGAACAAACAGATAGCTCGCCCAAAAACTGAAAGCTGAAATTAATCTGAAATTAATTAAACTGAAATTAATTTATTCCCAGAATTCGCTTTTACAGCTGTCTAGATATTTTTTTAGATAAAAAATAATTTCAACCTTTTTTTTATTACCCCTTTAGCTTTGGGTGAAATTGAATGAGCACTAGCATAAGTGAAACTTATCTCATCTCAAAACAAAATCGGTAGTCCCAAATAAACTGGCATTTTTAGTGAGTAATTTCATATTTAGTCTATTTTTTCTAAAGTTTTTTCTTTATCTAAAGATGTATTTTAAATGTAGTTAGAAGTGTTCTAATGCTTGAACCTCATTGTTTTATGGTTGTTTTATGGTTGTATTTCTTTTTTCTTTTCGACAAATGTTGTAATGATTGCTGTTTAATTAAGCTATCATCTCTTGTACCATCAACCAAAAAACAGTTCTCCATAACTTGTCATTTAGCAAAGTTGCATTGTATAATTATAACTGTTATTTCATGCACAAACAACTTTTAACCTTTTTTTCCTTTCTTTTTTTTAAAACATTTTCTTGATTTAACTCTCTATACATGTAATTCTTTGAGTAACTCCCAACTTAAATAGTGGTTGTTTGTATAAATATGATATGGATAATAAGTAAAAATAATCCTGCATATATCAGCTGCACAATATCCTGCACATATCAGCTGCATAATATCCTGCACATATCAGCTGCATAATTAAAACAATCAAGTAGAGTACGATTGATTTGAATCTAGGGGAGTAAATGCTTTTAGAAAATAATTTTATTATTTACTGAATTACTTGTACTATCATTTCTCAAAAGTTTTTCTTTTTAGATTAAAAAATTAGTTTAATTTTCTTCTTGCGAAAGTATAGGATATAATTAATTTTATTCTGATTATATTAAATTTAGACCTCATCTTTATTTTGGTGTTCGTGCCAAGACACCACAGTCACTTTTATTTGGTTTGATGTGGTTTGCTCAATATCCTGCTGATGGGCAGCTTCATATTAGGTTTGTTAAGTATTTTGTCTTGTTTATTTGTAATTTTTTTAAAACCTTTTAGAATTATATTTAAAATATCATTATAAAAATTTTTTAATTTATTTGTTATTTTTATATTTATTACCTAGATATACTTGTGAACAAAGTGATAATTTACCAAAATATGGTTGGTTAAGGCATGATGGTGATTCTTTTGGTTCTCAAGAAATTGTTGACAATGACTTTATTTTAACAACAAATTTCTTAAAAAAAAATGGAGGTCACCATGGAGGAGATTGGACAGCTCAAGTTAAAGGAAGAAAGCGTTTTGAGGTTTGAATAAATATAATTAAATTAGTCAAGCCATAAGTATTAAGGATAATGTGTTGAAGCTAGTTTTCATTAGTTTCAATAACTTGTTATACTTACATTTTTTTGCATTTTTATTATCAACTTATAAAAATTTGAGCAAATTAAAAAAAAGCAACAAAGTTTTTTCAGTCTTTGATATTAATATTTTATTAATCTTTAATTAATCTTTGACTAGACCTATCTCAATATTTGATTAAATATAAGATTTATTTCAATATCTTTGAGAAGATTGTTATTCCTGTGCATTTACGTTTGTATTGTTCTAATATATTTTGCACACTAAGTCTTTAAATGCCCACTATAATCCACACAGCTTTTTCAGAAAAAGAAGAATATCTTATATACATACATACATACATACATACATACATATATATATATATATATATATATATATATATATATATATATATATATATATATATATATATATATATATATATATATATATATATTATACTTTTTATAATCTTTTTAAATCACTTTTATATGAAATTTAAATTTTTTTTTTTTGTTTATTTTTTAATCGCTATTATTGCTACTATTATTTTTATTTACTCCTACTTATATTATAATGATAATAATTATTATCTCTATTTTATTATTTTCGAATTTGACAGGTGTTTACTTCATATTAGTGCTTATTACTGTTTGTAAATACTCTTGATGTAACAGCTTGATTCAGAATAAATTTGATTTGATTTGGTTCATCCTTTGATGGATAAGAATAAGATGTTTTTTATTTTTAGAATAAGATATTTTTTATTTTTATCTTATAAAAATTTGAGCAAATTAAAAAAAAAGCAACAAAGTTTTTTCAGTCTTTGATATTAATATTTTATTAATCTTTAATTAATCTTTGACTAGACCAATCTCAATATTTGATTAAATATAAGATTTATTTCAATATCTTTGAGAAGATTGTTATTCCTGTGCATTTACGTTTGTATTGTTCTAATATATTTTGCACACTAAGCCTTTAAATGCCCACTATAATCCACACAGCTTTTTCAGAAAAAGAAGAATATCTTATATACATACATACATACATACATATATATATATATATATATATATATATATATATATATATATATATATATATATATATATATATATATATATATATATATATATATATATATATATATATATATATATATATTATACTTTTTATAATCTTTTTAAATCACTTTTATATGAAATTTAAATTTTTTTTTTTGTTTATTTTTTAATCGCTATTATTGCTACTATTATTTTTATTTACTCCTACTTATATTATAATGATAATAATTATTATCTCTATTTTATTATTTTCGAATTTGACAGGTGTTTACTTCATATTAGTGCTTATTACTGTTTGTAAATACTCTTGATGTAACAGCTTGATTCAGAATAAATTTGATTTGATTTGGTTCATCCTTTGATGGATAAGAATAAGATGTTTTTTATTTTTAGAATAAGATATTTTTTATTTTTATCTTATAAAAATTTGAGCAAATTAAAAAAAAAGCAACAAAGTTTTTTCAGTCTTTGATATTAATATTTTATTAATCTTTAATTAATCTTTGACTAGACCAATCTCAATATTTGATTAAATATAAGATTTATTTCAATATCTTTGAGAAGATTGTTATTCCTGTGCATTTACGTTTGTATTGTTCTAATATATTTTGCACACTAAGCCTTTAAATGCCCACTATAATCCACACAGCTTTTTCAGAAAAAGAAGAATATCTTATATACATACATACATACATACATATATATATATATATATATATATATATATATATATATATATATATATATATATATATATATATATATATATATATATATATATATATATATATATATATATATTATACTTTTTATAATCTTTTTAAATCACTTTTATATGAAATTTAAATTTTTTTTTTTTTGTTTATTTTTTAATCGCTATTATTGCTACTATTATTTTTATTTACTCCTACTTATATTATAATGATAATAATTATTATCTCTATTTTATTATTTTCGAATTTGACAGGTGTTTACTTCATATTAGTGCTTATTACTGTTTGTAAATACTCTTGATGTAACAGCTTGATTCAGAATAAATTTGATTTGATTTGGTTCATCCTTTGATGGATAAGAATAAGATGTTTTTTATTTTTAGAATAAGATATTTTTTATTTTTAAAATAAGATAATATTTTTTTTAATTTTATATGGTTTTATTAAAATGAATAATATTTTTCAAATTTTGTTATTTAGTTTCACTTCATTTGTGCCCCAAGTTGATTTGTTTTTGATTTTCTTTTTTTTTTTCCATTAGAAAATCAAGAAGTTAACACCTGTCAGTTTTAAGGTTGTAAGAAGTGCAATAATAGGGTGAATCTGATGCAGATAATAGGGTAAATCTGATGTAGATAATATGGTAAATCTAATATAGATAATAAGGTAAATCTGATGTAGATAATAAAATAAATCTGATGTAGATAATTAGGTGAACTTGATGTAGATAATAGGGTGAATCTGATGCAGATAATAGGGTAAATCTGATGTAGATAATATGGTAAATCTAATATAGATAATAAGGTAAATCTGATGTAGATAATAAAATAAATCTGATGTAGATAATTAGGTGAACTTGATGTAGATAATAGGGTGAATCTGATGCAGATAATAGGGTAAATCTGATGTAGATAATATGGTAAATCTAATATAGATAATAAGGTAAATCTGATGTAGATAATAAAATAAATCTGATGTAGATAATTAGGTGAATTTGATGTAGATAATAGGGTGAATCTGGTGCAGATAATAGGGTAAATCTGATGTAGATAATATGGTAAATCTAATATAGATAATAAGGTAAATCTGATGTAGATAATAAAATAAATCTGATGTAGATAATTAGGTGAATTTGATAAATAGGGTGAATCATAAATAGGGTGAAATATAAGTGATTATAGATCTTGATCTTGTAAAGTTTATAAGTGATTACAATTGATCTTGTAAATCTGGTATTGTATTATAAATGCAAAAGTTAAAAATAGTTAAAAAAAAATCTATAATATAAATGCAGTATGCAAAAAAAATCTATAATATAAATACAGTAGTAATCTAAAAGATAATAAAAAATTATCAACTTGTTTGCAAGCAATTAAAATATTAAATATTTGATCTACTGTAGGCTTAAATACAAACATTCGCGTGGTGTGTCATTATATTTCTTGTATTTTGTCACAAAATTTACAGAAATATCTAAGTTGTTCAGTGAAAAAATCCTTGAACATCTAATATATAGTTCAGTGAAAAAAACCTTGAACAACTAATATATAGTTTACTGTTAAAAACCTTGAACTTCTTATATATAGTTCAGTGTTAAAAACCTTGAACATCTAATATATAGTTCAGTGTTAAAAACCTTGAACATCTAATATATAGTTCAGTGTTAAAAACCTTGAACATCTAATATATAGTTCAGTGAAAAAAACCTTGAAATAAATAATTCAGGTAAAAAACCTTGAAATTTTTTTTTTTTTCAAGAGTGCAATAAAATCTAAAATAATATTTATAAAAATATATTATTAATTATATAAACATTTATATAAATTTAGAAAATTATAAAACTTGATATAATTTGTATAATTTTTCCTCAATAACGTTTTCACAAAAAACTTTGAAGTAAAACTTAAAGTTTTTATTGTAATAAGTTTTATTTTACGCTGTAAAATAAAACTTATTACAATTAAATGACCCCATTAAAATAAAACTTATTACAATTTAATAACCCCATCAAAGTATGAAATCCATTTCAACTTTAAAAGTTAAAAAACTTTTAAAATAATTAAAACTAGATTTGGAAAAAAGAAACCTTATAGTAAAATAAAAACCTTATAGTACTAGCCCATTTTAAAATATAGCTTTTTATTATTAGCATATTCACTTGGTTTCTTATTAAATATAAACTCAATTAATTAATACTTTGATACTTCTTTTTATTAAAAACTTACTTGATTAGTAGAAGGAAAAAAGACATTGTAGTTATTAAAAGTTTTAAAATTGTTTTTACATGTCAACTTATTCTTGTAAAATGTTTTCTATTTTACCAATGTTGTGAATAAAATTTGTTCAAATTAGATTTTGTTTCGCTAAAAAAAGTTAAAGGTTAGTTAAACATTTATTTATTTTTATTATTTTTATTTGAAACTCGTGGTAATTACTTCAAATAAATTTAAACTGTTAAATAGAAATAAGTGTTACAATTCATTAAAATATACCTTTCACGGTTGGCCAAAAAGACCGCCAGTTTTTATGTCGTGTCACTCATACAAATTTTTTTTTATCTAAGAGTATTAGTAGTTTACTTATAAAAAAAAGGGTTTTTTAAAATCCAAGTATGGTGCAAAGGGTCAAAAAAGGGCAAGAAAAGGGCAATGCAAAAGTTTCTAGCCTCATATTTTTATAAATGATTACACAGGCCTACAAAAAAAAAAGTTTTTTGGTGCCTAAGATTTAATAATTGATTTTAGCTATATTTTTGTTGCTGAATCTGAATTTGAAGTTTTTCTCTATCAGCTCTAGTTTTTGAGATGAATTTTTTTAAGATTTTACATGAATTGAATAGTTTTAACTCCATTTAGTAATGTTATAACGTATAGACAATGTTTGGTTACTGTATTCTATATATTTGTTATATATTCAGTTTATTGGTCTGTTTGCAACAGGAAAATCTACTAGGTGGAGTAACCATACTGTAAATTAAGTGAACTTCAACTATAATTGAGATTAGTATGAAAGTTGTTGCCGTGCTGAATAGATGAAAGTTGGTGTCACGTGATATTTCTATTTTCTGAAGTGTTGTTGTTAAGTTAACCTAAATAGTATTGTGTTGTAAATTGCTTTTGCATTTTTGTATTTAGATCTAGATAAAATGAGTTCTAATAGAAGAAGTTGTGTGAATCACCCTGA